TTAGAAGATGAAAAAGATATCAAATAGTTCTTGAAAAACAAATATGCATTATTAAATTTTATGGTAATATTTAGACATATAAAAATGGCGTAAGAACAGCAGGGATTTTTCAAGGGAAAGTATAGCCTTGATATATCCAGTAGCCTGAAGGAGTTGCAGATCACAAAGGAGCATGATAAAGATCAATTATTTGCAACCCCTTGCATTATTTTTCTTTTCAGCTGTTACATACGTGCACAAAAAAACCTGTGCACTCTTAATATGTGCACAGAAGTTTACAGCTGCATGTCTAAAGCCTTCAAGAGACTGCAATCTATGCTTTTCACCTGCATTTGGAACTTGGAAAGTTTAACTCCACTCCGCTTATTAACACAGTTAGTCTTTGGGTATACTTCCGCATCATAAAACCGACAGAAGTAAAATATAAATTATACGGTAAGCTACAAATCTCCTTTCCCTTCATTAACAGATCAGTCTGGAAATTCAACCCTATAATTCACCTTAGAGCGCAGTTACTTTGCAGAGTTTTGGATTAAGAGGGGAGGTCCTGCAAAGATTTACTTACGCACCTAAGCTTTACATGCTGACACAGACTTGGACTGTTGGGAACCCACTGCGCCTCATAATTGAGGTGTGAATCACATGAAATCTAGGTCTCCTTCCTAGAAAAGCCCGTTGTGTTGCTAAACTGAGGGGAAGAAATCTAGACACATCCATAAATGGAGAACTAAAAGGGAAGGATTTATTTAATTGAATAAAACATGCTATGGAGAACTGGAAATAATAAAGAAGGTGGTTTCCATTAAGTTACCCTGCAGATTTTATACTAACTTAAGGCTTCTCTGTGCATCACTTCTTTGTTGTTATTATTATTTAATAGTTTATTTCCATATTCAGACGAAAAGGAACACTGCTTAAGGGTATTCAGCCAGAAGTTTATAAACAAATCAAGGCTAAAAACTGAAAAATAAGATCTGTGATTACTTAAATATTTAGCTTAGCAAATCATCTCATGCAATCAGGGTTTGTTTAGACTAAGTACAGACAAAGAGTTCAAATGTTATCTGTATTTAATTGGCATCTGCAACTAAAATTCAAATTCAAGGCCTTTATTGGCCCCCTGACAGAGTAAGCCATAAACTCATGCAAACTGAGAAACTCCACTCAGTAGTTTCCTGAAGTATCTGGAAATCCTGCAGCTTCAATCATACCTCAGAGCCGCACGTTTTACGTCTGCCAGCCTTGCCTTGAGTTCCAGAAAGTGCTACCGACCTGAGTAACGGGCAGCAGATTACAGAGAAGTAGTACAGGGAAGGGAAACCTGTTCCGGTGGGATTTCCTTTCCAGTTTCCCGGTCTGAATCCAGGCTGTGCCCATGGCACGCTCCTGTTCCCCAGGAAATCAGCAGGAATGTTGGCAGGAACTTCATCGGAAAGAGGGCAGCCTAGCACAGTCTGAGCTCAAGTACAGGTTGAATGATTAAACGAGGCCTCCCAGGAGATGATGTTGTAAACACTAGTGCCTAAGTAAGCCAGAACTGGAGTCAACACCTTGTCCAAAACAAAAATTAAACCAAAAAAAGTTTTGTATAAACTCTTCCATGTTAAATATTTAACTTGCAATCAACTGTTGGCTCAACTGTTCTTTTATCAAATGTGCACATACAGTTCTCCTTGGAGACACTGAGATCTGAGTAAGGCTTAAAAAAAAATCCAGTTCTTTTGGTTGTTGTCATTCTTAATCACAGATATCTATAAAATTATTAGTCCAAGCTACTAGTGGGAAAAGAAAACTCTAGATTAGCTAAATCAATCAGGCCTGTTCAATTGGGAAAAGGAGACAAGCAATTTTTGAAGAATCAATTTATTGGCTATTAAAGACATGCTTAAAATTAACTGCATCACAGAATACAGTTCCTCATTCATCTACTTCTGCAGAATATCACCAGACTCCTGGTTTCATCTGGGTTATGGACGCTATTAATTCCATCTGCTAAGTCATTCCAAAGAGATGCAGCGATCCTGCAGCCCCAAAGATTATGGCATTGAAGTGGTATTTGAAATAATCTGACAATTGAGACAGGTCAGAGGTACACTAATAAAATACCAAGCCAATACTTGAAAATAAATTGTATGTTAGTGGATCCTACGGTCAAATAGCCAAGTGCCAGAAAACTCACTTGGAAAACTCTTGAGGTATCCTGTGAGATGTTTGTCATGAGTGACTTTCAGATCTAACAACCAATTTTTGTAAGCCTCTTTTACGGGTAAAAATGTGTGCCCTCTTTTCAGACATAATTACTGAGTATTTCACAGCTTTGTCAATGCAACATTTCATATTTGCTACAATATTTTAGCAGTGCATGAATTCACATTAGCAGATTTGAAAACTAATGGATATAATGGCTGTTGTGTTAATGTAGTTAGGTTTTTTTGGTAAACTCAATTTACCAGACCATTATGGAAATTTTGCTTCCAGTAGTTCTGCATTAATGAAAGTGCAGAGTTTTTGGTTTTGACCGTAGTTTTTACCACATATTTTAGTTGTGTCTAAAGCTAACGTCTGTCCAACTGCAGGCTAATGGATCGGGTTTGTATCTTAGACAGCACTTCATTATTCACTAAAGCATTCCAAAATCCCACCCCTAGACAGACAGACAGGCGGATGGATGGATGTCTCTATTCCCTACCATCACCATCTTTGGAAGCTGTGAACCAGTAGGGCTCTGTATGCAGAACATCTCTCAAAGGCATAACTTCACTCAGCAAACATGACTATAATTATAAAGACAGCCCAAAGCAGCCAGTAAAGGACACTAATACTCCCCACAAAGCACGACCGACTCCTTATTTAGGGTTTCAGCTGGATCAAAAAATTCCTGACATTCATATGTAGTTGTTTTTTTTTTTCCCCCCACAAAAAAAATTGTCTATATTTGTACATCATGTATTAACAGCGCAGGGATAACTGATCTTACCCCCCCCCACACCCCTCCCCGGGCACAAAGTGCAAAAAATCACATAACCACCCTGCTCCACTTCAATTTTATCTTCAGGCTTTCCTCTAGCATTTTCATTTTATAAACACTTTTCCCCAAAAAGAGGGCCTTGGTCACCTTCGTATCCCATACTAGGTCTGTATATACTCATCTAGTTTGAAATCTAGTAGCTCAGATTCCATTATTTGAATGTTTTTGTCCTGAATCTTCCCTCTTTTTGCTTTCTTCTACATCACACAGATTCAGATAGAAGCTTCCCCTGCTCAAATGACTGCTGCTCACTCACCACTACCTGAACCCGACCAGTTAGTTAGAAAAAGGCAAACCGGACAGATGCTAGAATATTTCAGTTACTTGGTGGCAAATTACTGGGACCAAGGAAGTAAAACATGAAAAAAAACCAACAAGTAATGACACATTTTTGAAACTAATTTGATAACCCAGAAGTCCAGCCCTGCAGTCTACAGTGCGCCATGCACATTTGTGTGTCTTAACTTTGCGGAAATGTCACTATTACTTTTTAAAAAGCATAAACATTCAATTTTCCATTGAAAAGAATTTCTCCTTAATGTTTTCTTAAATTAAAACTAAATCTAGAAGATTCATAATGATTCACTCGTTTGTGTCACCGAGTTGACTTTATAAAATATACACTATGTGGCACTTAACACTTGAAGAGTTTCAGATTTTTTATGTAATAGGCAAAAGAATTTTAATTTAAAATGTATTTCAAATACTGCATTGACAGTCCCTTTACTCATTTTACATTGTACTCTGAGTCCCTCTGAGGGTACGTCAGTGTTTAAAGAGGAGATACACACAAAATACTCAGATTAAGTGAGAATTTGGTAATTCAGTAAATCTCAGCATTAGGGAGAAATTTGTGCAATAGGAGAGTAAAAACCGTAACTTCAAATCAGGTCCTAACTACCCAGTTACTAGAGATCCCCTATGATCTGTACGAGGATAGAGCTGTTGGGTTTTTTGCTATGTGCTGTGTTAAGCAGTTGGCATCTTTCCATCCTTGAGGAGGTGCTTATATTTCAATAGCAGATTAAGTAATTTCTGTGAATCATCACAGGTTTTTTTGTGGGTTGGGTTGGGTTTTTTTCAGTACTTTAGGATCCTTTGGGATAAGAAGCTGTATTATAAAGGCATATTACTGCTTCTAGTAAAGGATGGGTTGTTTTGCATTTGAAGCAAAGCCTTAATTGATGCACTGCTGACTTCTTCCACAAACTTCAATAGTTCATAAATTTTATACTTACAGCAGCAGCAACTAGTTGCTAATAATAAATTATACTCAGGTTTTAGGTTTAGCTGAGGTAAATTTAAAAAAAAAAAAAAAAAAAAAAAAAAAAAAAAAAAAAAAAAAAAAAAAAAAAAAAAAAATCAATTGATGACACCACTTACGACCAGATAATTTCTTTCAAAGATGCAGAGTACATTACACAGAAGAAACATGTTTTGTAAGCAACTGTACTGGAAAAAAAAAAATGCCAGTTTGACACTTCGTGTTACTAAACAGCTGCATTAAAAGAGCATTAAGGGTGGTCAGCGCTCTAGACTTTCCTTTATTTGTACAGAGACCCTTGTTTTTAATTTTCCCTGTGCTTTTTATTAACTATCAAGTAAATTCAGATGACTTTTGTTCTGAGAGCCCATATGGGTTCCTTTGCAGTGATGTCCGAGTGCTGAGCTAGCACCCCCGACACGATGGCTGTGGTACCTGTCCTCTGAAAAGGGGGTTGGAAAAAGCTTCTGGTGCCCCAAAAACCTCTCTGAGGAGCAGGTGCTGTTAAATTGAGATTAAAAAAATCACAATTTTCTAGCAAAACACTGATGTCTAATAATACGAAGGACTATCACCTAACAGAATCAAACAAAAAACGGTGCGAGTGGCAGCCAAAATAGAGGAAGTTAGCTCAAATATTGCAGACTTGGGGGGGAAAGTAGCATTTTTGTTGTAACGTGAGGCTTTTTGAACTGTTTTTGAACGCAGGCATCATGGTGAGTAAGGAGCCCAGCAAATGCTTACTCACCACCTCGGAAAGCGAAGTTGAGCCGGCGGCTTCACTCGCATTGGAGATGAAATATGCACTGGATCCCAACCGGCAGATTAAGAAACGAAACAAAGCCCTCCAGGTGAGATTTAAAGATATCTGCGAGGCCCAGAACGAGCAGAGGGACAAACAGCTGTCCACCACCCAGGATCCCGACAAGAGAGAAGCCAAGCCCATCTCCTACAAAACGGCTTATCGCAAGTACATGACAGTGCCTGCCCGGAGGTCGATACCCAACGTCACCAAGAGCACAGGAGTTCAGACTTCACCCGATCTTAAAAAGTGTTACCAGACCTTTCCCCTGGACCGGAAAAAAGGGAATATTCTAAAAAGCGCCTCGACTGTCGACACCTTTAAGAGCCAAAACAACGGGTTTCTAATAGACGTTAAAGACAAAGAGGGCAGAAGCTCAGGGGAGGGCGTCCCGTGGAGCAAGAAGGCCGGCAGCCTGCAGACGGCGGAGTTCATCTCCCACATCAACGAGCGCACCAACACCGGATCTCGCGACAACGGGGCCGAGGCCTGGATAAGCAGCGATTTGCACAGCTCTCCCAAAGAGCCGCCGCCTCCTCCTCTCCCAAACTCAGCCGACCCCGCTTTGGAGGAGCCCGCCGCTGCCCGGCCGCCCAGCCGAGGGAAACCGGCGGTGGGGCGGCCGGGGAGCGAGGAGGTCACCCAGCCCTTCCACGGGAGGGTCTTCAAGACTGAAGTGGCCACCGTTTATTTACCGGCGGCTAGCTCAAACGCCTCGCAGCCCGACCTGCCAAACCTCGTGGCTGAGACTGAGTGGTCCCCGTGCCCACCAGCCGAGGAGGACAAAAAGAGGACCGTGCACCTCAACGGGGTTCAGCCCCAGGCGGGAGATGCTCGAGCCTGCTCGTCGCGGGCGCAGTGTCAAACCACCGAATGTAACAACGAACAGACCCTTCAGATAAACGTTTCACCTATGGAGGAGAACCAGCCTTGCCAGACGGCCGTCGCTGTGAGCGAGGAATGCCAACAAATCGTGCCTCACACGGAAGTTGTGGACTTGAAAGCGCAGCTTCAGATGATGGAAAATTTGATCAGCTCTAGTCAGGAAACCATAAAAGTGTTGTTGGGTGTTATACAGGAGCTAGAGAAAGGAGAAGCTCACAGAGAAGGGTGAGTAGAAGCTCTTTACATGACTGTAAGATGTTTTAAATGCCTTTTCTAACAAGTCCTGCCCTTGAATTTGCCAACACAAACTTGTCCCCGCCACCGCGCGTTCCTCCGCACCGCACCAAGACGTTACACGTGGTGCTTCTCACAGGGACTCAGTTTTGCTGCTTTAGAGGCAAGTCCTAGGGAAACCTGCCAGCAGTATTAGCTGATTTGGTATCTGCTTGTCCTAGGATGTAATGAAGTGGTTATTTAGCAAAGAACCTATAATACCTCTTCTTGTACTTTTCCTAACAAGCACAGAACAAGCTGTTCTCCAAACAGGGTTAGCCAGGATGCTTTCACATCAGCAACTTGTATTAACTGTAATACCTCACCTGGCATGAAAAGCAGCAGAAAAACCTTCACTCTATAAGAGACCTTTTTAAGATTAAGGGATATAATTCCATTAATGGCATATGAATCTTGTCTGGTTTACTTACACCTTCTGAATTTTTAATGTTTCTCTCAGAAGGAAATTAGATTAAAACTTTGAATATCAAAGTCGTCTTTACAGCTTTCACACTACTCCACACACCACAAACTCAAGCATAAAGAAACAATATTTTGTTTATCGCTAACTTATATTACAGTTAAATCAACCTGAAAGGAATTACAACTAATACTTACTACAACACACTAGAACCTTTAGTCTTCACCTAGACAGTTCAATCCATCTCTTACATTACCTTAACAAGGGTTTGCAGACTTACATGCCTTAGTTCACTAATCTTTATTCAGTGAAAGCACCTCAAACTGTATGTGCACTGTTTGTGTGGTTTTAAATAGTTCTGCAATTAAATCATAATTTGTCAGAAGAAATCTGGATTTTAAAATTAGGAACCAGTAGCTTGTGCTACTTGAAGCAGCACATCTTTTCACTGGAGTCAAAAAGGTACATTTTAAGATTTGTAATTCAACTCTTTCTCTAGGGATGTAGAAATCATCTTGTTAATCCTAAAAATTCTGTTTTTCATTTAAAAAGTCATCTTAGCTGTTGGACAATGCTGTCAACACAGCCTTAGCATTTTTAGTTTATTTTACAGCTGGTTATAGTATTATTAGAATACCCTGTCAAATCCTGCATCTTCAGACTGGGAAGCTTCTTGATGTAGCTGAAAGCAATGCAGGCTTACTGATTTATTTTTTAAAATTATTATTCAGAAGAAGCATTCCTCTGACTTTAACTTACAGAAATGGCAAGAGAATTGGAAAGAAGTAGCATGCTGCTTGTCAAATTACAAAATACAGAAAAATATTTCTTCATCATAACTCATCATCTGATCATCGAGAACCCTGTGTGTTCACACACACACACCTACCCACAAAGTCACCTGCTATAAATACCAGTCCTTCCTCCATACGCTTAGAGATCAATTTTTTAGCTTTTCCCAAAGAAAGCAGAGCAACAGGTAGAGGAAATAATTATTTTTTTACTTCCATTTACCGTAGCCAACATTAGGAGTGTATCCCTGCCCTCAGCACAACAGAGGTCCTACCCAAACTATCAACGATTGCTCGTATCTTCAACTAATCCTTCTGTAGTTGGCAACCTGACACTGCCGTAGCCTTTATCAGCCCTAAAATAGTGGAATTATCCATAAACCCCAGTTCTTCAGAATATCTCTACTGCCTCTTACACACACAGACCTGTGTATTAGGGTCTACAAGACTACATGATACTTGACCAAAAGGAGCCTGTTTATTAGCATTCCTTTACTTTCCCCCCTACAGGTCCCCCAGCAATGGTGAAATCACCACCTAAAGATACATCCCACATTTTTAAATCATTTCAAACACATTGTGGCATGTGGAAGAGACAATTAAAACCTTTTAACGATTCTTTGACGATAACTGTAACCAGGGACAGTAACACCAGTAGTCGAGGTGAATTATAAAACTTGGAAGCAAAGTATCTACAAATCAAAGGGCGATTTTGGATAGGGGAGGTGTTTTAAACATGACATAAAAAGGTGCTGCCTTAAAACTCAGCAAGAGCAGAAAAGAGCCTTTCTCCCTGGAGCTGCTTTCAGCTACTCTTCCATACGCTCTCGGCACGTCCCAAGCATGCCCCCTCCCAGCTAGCCAGGAAGGATGTTGAGGTAGGGAAGGAGGAAAGAAGAGAGATGCATATTGGGTATTTTCTCCTGGTTTAGGGATTCTTGTATTACAGATCCCTCTCATTTTCTAGCACCTGGGTGATTTTAAAGGAGATTGCACAAAGGAGACCAGCATTATGCTTGGGACGTTTCTGTTCTCCACTGATCACACTCCAGAGCTGAGAGAACACACTGTTCTTGTGCAAAGCACCAACACATTATTAACATGAAGCCTGTCTTTATCCCTATTTCCCTCAAATTAGACAACTATTTCAATAATAGGTTGCCCCATCCTTTTATTAGAATAATTCTTTCCAATTATGGCATTCATTTCTACAACAGTTTTGCCACGGAGACCCACTACTGTGTACACTGTTCTGTATCTTCTCAATTTTGGCATGATGATCTTTTTTTCCCTTTTATACCCAGGTGTTGGGTCAGTCTGTAACAAGAAATTAAAAGCAGTTCTACTGCCATGTCTCTCCTTATTGTAGCATATACAAGCCTTCCATCTGCTAAAACAGAAAACAGTGTTCTGTGTTTATGGCACTCTCCTGGTTTTCTTAATGTATATTAAATTCCTTCCAGTAACATACAGGAAGAAACAAACACAAATAACATGCTGCCAGTTAAAAAAAAACAATAACAAAAAACACCAACAAAAAAACAAACCAAAACACAAACCCGCAGCTAAATCTCTTAATCAGATTTTTCTCCCTTCAAGAAAATCAGTGTTCTTTAAGTGTTGTTGTCGTGCCATGGGACTACTGCTCAGTGGATTCATTTTCACTAATATGCTGTAGGTCTTGAACTGCTATTACTGCAATTCATCACTAAATGAGTCGATGCCAACAAAATTGTATCGGCATCTCTGCAGATAGTAGCATCATCCTTTGGGTGAATAGCATCTATGTCTACTTTTCAAAATGTCAGTACTACATTATCTGCAATTAACCACAACATAAAGCACTCAACTCTGCTGAAAAGAAAGGGGGAAAACCACCGGAGGAGGAAGAGAAACACAGAGCAGCTCTACCAGCTGACAGACCGAAGAGCAGATCAAAGGCTTTGAGGGTGCAGTGGGACCTCTCGCTTCCTCTGAGCTGGGATCAGGCCCCATTTATTGGGCACAGAATACAAAATTCAGGCCATCAGGAAACACAGCTTTCACCATCAGGCACTGCATAATTTCAACGCATTAAATCTAGCTAAATAACACTTACTAGATTTGGGGACAGGGGTACAACTCATTATCTCTATCCTCTGAGCCCCCAATACCAAAGAAAAGTATTAAAACTGTGTATTTCTTATGTGCATCATTATTTACTAGATATTTGGCAAAATGGTAATTCTACCTTACTATGTGGAAGCTTCCTCGAAAAAAAACCCTTACGTCCCAGCAAAAGGCATTCAACAATGTTTATGTTAAGTCATGCATGAATAGAAGTAACAGAGCTACAGCTTCAATTAAGTCTCCCAGCTCAAAGTTGAAAAACTGTTGAATATTACATGATGCAAGGTGCAGCTTTACAACACAAAACAAGGTTTATGCTCCAAATGATGTTTGCTTTGTCTTCTAGTAAACTATTAGCAATCTATATTAACTAGAGACATACTTATCTGTATTCAGATACAGTGCGTTCAATTAGGCAAGTCAAATTCTGCTCTGTATGGAGCCTCACTAAGACCAACAGGATTGAAAGCAAAATGCCAGTCACTAATTCCAAAACCTGGCTAACACCTGTGAAATATAGAACAGAAGATGGACAGATAATCAAAAATAGTTTGCTGCTGGAGAACAGCAATGACCTGCCCTTTAAATCTTTACTGTGAAAAGTAATAGTAATCTAGGGTCTTCTCATTATACAACAAATCAACAATTCTAATAAACAAAGCACTCAATTTGCCATACAGAAATAAGTCACAGTATTTTGACTCTGACAGGCCAAATGCTACACATTAGACAAGAATGACACGTACCTGTTTCAGAGATCATTTATATTTATGTCTTAGTCAACAGTGGTTCAGGAATTTAAAGGGTTCTCAACAAACATTCATGAATCAAGCAGTCCCAAGCTCCTCTGAAGAGGCTTTGCAAGAACACGTTCTCATGGACAGAATTTAAATGTCATTTCACGTTTTCCAACGTATAAGGGATATTTATGTCTCTTAAAATCATTTCTAAGTAAAAAATAAACAAATACTGTGAGTGTCTGGATAAATGTTTGTACCAAAGAGAAGAGGAGAGCTTCACCCTGGTGCAGAGACAGCATCCTCACCCAAGTACTTCTGTCTTAAAAATACTGCAAGCAATCATCCTCAAGGTCACACGAGTTGAGCATTAACTTCTCATCCTGACTCAGGAAGGATGGTAAATGAAAGTCCAATAGCCAAAGCAATTATTGCCCAGATTGTTTGCTTTTCTCCTTTTCAGAAGCTACTTCAGCCCAGATGAAGGAGACAGAGCAAATAAAGGTAGTAACAACCTCTACTGTCTAACTCAATCCACCTACACACGAGCCAGCACTCTTAAAGGAGTTCCTTATTTCACATAAGGAGAAAAAGCTTAGAGTTTACAAGAATGCAGCTTCTGAAAGCCCAGTCTTTGGAAGTAATGTGCTAGCTGCAGAAATAATATGATGTGGTTTCATGTGGGATTTCCCCTCCTCTTTGGTGGCGTTTTGCTTTTTCAGTTACAGACACAGCAAAGGAAAAATGTTAGCAAAATCATTTCTAAGAGAAAACTCGGAAATGCAGGAAAGCAATAGATAAGTTTAACAGCAGAAGACAGCTGCACTACAAATAAATATATGAAAACCAGACAGAAGACAATGAATGCCATCTGTGCTGCATAAATTGTGTCAC